CTGGCTAAATAGTTAATTAAATTCATTCTCATTTTTACTGTATGTTCAAGAGGGATTTCTATGGTTATTAGGATGCTTTTTAGAAATTATTTGGCAAAATAATTCACTATTGCTTTGTTATACTAAAATAATTTGTATGATTTTCTTAGCAGACCTAGACTGCTAAGTCTGATTTGTTTTGTCTAATGTAAAGGAATCTTCAAGTGCCAGGCAGCACCAGGAAGCATTTTAGAAACGAAATATGCATCTTTGTTCCATTGTATTTCTCCTGATTACATGGTTCATTCAGGCATATTTTCCACATCAAACTAACAGTACAGAATTGAGTTAAACATTTTTCCCACATGAAAGAGAAAGAAGGAAAAATGCATATACCATTATAACATAATATTCTAAGTCAATGCAATTTTTCTCAAAGTGGTTCCTGCAAATATGTGGGGCTACAATTCTCACAATTCCCTATACCTTCAATATATTGTTCTGATTGTCGGGGTTCCAAATAGCATCCAAAATTAAATTTAAAATTTAAAATTAAAGAGTTCAAGGCAAGGTATTGTTCAAAGTTCCAATTTATTAAGAGATCCATGTTGGCACATCTAGGAAAACCCGAATCTGAAAGCTTCCCGGTTTTCCCACCCAGTTGAAAGTTCAAGATCTTGCCCTCACACCCACAAGTCCATCACATGGTCCAATCTTGCACTGCCATGCTGGCAGCTTCCACCCATCCAGTTCCGGTCAGGTGCAGAGGTGCAAAGACAAAGGATGACTTTGGTTTCCTAGAATTAATTTTGTNTTCTGCAACAAAAGGCAGAATGAATCCCGGCTCGGAGCTGCCATGCTGCAGCCAGTGCCTTCCCCCTTCCTCCCAGCGTTTAGGCTGAAAGGGCTAGTTGGAGAGCTTCCAATGCATAGCTTCTCACCTCTCTCTTCTAAGCCCGAAGAGAGGGTAAATAAACTGCCAAACATCTTGATAGATTGCTGTTTAGACAGATTAACGACGCCAAGATTCCAGAGCTGTTAAAAATAACAACCCTCTGTCAGGCTCTGCCCACCGGAAGTCCTGAAGTCTTAACCAGCATTGCTGAGTGGATTATGTCAGCATAGGAAGGACAATATCACATGACTGGCTTAAACAATACAATGAATACCTAATCACAAATAAGGTTAAAAAAATATTGGTTTTTTTAAAAGCAAAGATAGTATGAAATGCCATGCTATCTTTGTATGACATTTATCAGGTCTGCTTTCTTGCCACTTATTACTAGAAAATAAAAATACTAGCAAATGTAATATTGCTAATATAAATTATCACAGTTTTTTTAAAAAAAATATTGTAAACATTTTGTTACCACTGGCTCTCCTGCATTTAACCAGGATAGTTCAGAGTAATAACAGCAAATGGTATTTATCAGATTTCAACCCTCAAAAAAATTGGTATAAAAGGATGTTTAAAATAATATTGGATTCATGATATAGACAACAAACAAAAAACTCAGGTTGGTATTAAATTTAAGGAAAAGGATCATGTTTTTTAAAAATATCAACAAAGATAAAATGAGAAGGATTATGTAATACACAGATAAGAATTCTGAAAAAAGCTATCTTGAAGAAAGTCATACAAAGCTTAATTTGTGCTCAGCGAAAAATAAAATAGATGTCCTTTTTGCTAACAAATATATGTAGGAAACATACTTCAATAGTAATGAGAGACTTAAATTACCCTGACATCAATTGAAAGACTAATTCCACACTAAGTGAGAAATCGAATAAGTTCCTAACCAGCCTAGCTGACAACTTTTTTGCCCAAAAGGCAGAAGAGGGAACTAGAGGGACAGCCATACTGGACTTAATTCTTAAACAGAGACATTGACATTGAGTCTTTATTGATTAGCCCTTGGGCCATATCAAACTGCAAAGTTCCAAAAACAAATTATTACTAAAAATTGATAAAAACAATTTGAAATGGAATTGGAATAAAATACAATTTAAAATGGAATTGGAAAAAAATAGTCTAAAATGAAATTGAAATAGAATACAGTAATTTAAGATATATGATAAAATTATATTTCGGTGTCACTCTACACACTGCAATCTACGTAAATATCTCCCTAAGATGTTTTGGCAGTTGTAACTTCAAATAGCTGTCTACTTGAAAAGTACATTTGTATTTACTCAGCCATTTCAAGTTACCCACATTATTAAGGATAGCTATGTCATTTTGTGCTTCTATATCCTTAATTCTTTGGGCAGCTCTTTTTTTGAGGAGTTCTCCTGTTATGCAAGAGGCAGGAAGACAACAGCTTCTTACAAAATTTGTTAGTTTGGTGATCCAGGAGATTTGTGATTGTAATTTTATTTGCTCTAGGAGACACAACTTGGGGAGTCTATCAGTCTCCATTTCATTGACTTTGCACCAGATATGCTCTAATTTTGGATAGTGCATCAATTGTGTGAATTCGCAATTCAGCTCTAACTGCTGCAGCAGATGTTCTTGGATCTACATCCAAAATACATCTCAAGTGCTGGGACTGTGTTTGTTCTAGGACTGTGGTTGAGTATTGAACCCAAACTTCTGCTCCGTGTAAGAGCATTGGGGTAACCTTAGCTTTATAAACCTTAATTAATGGGGCTAGGGAACCTGGGTAACCATGATTCTTTAGTTTAAGTAGTAAATTCAAATGGTTTTTTGCTCTAAATGTACTCTGTTGATGATGGCAAGCCCAAGATCCAGTCTTGGACAAAGTTATGCCTAATGATACAAAGGTGTTAACCTGTTCAATTGGTTCGCCATCTAATTGCCACCTATGTCTCAAAGAAAATAAAAGTCAAAGATAATAAAAATGTTTCTTCCAACATATAAATAACAAGAAAAAAATCAAGGAAATGGTCCACTAAAGAGAAGATAGCAAGGAAGTAACAGGCAGCAGGGAGAAAGCTGAGCTGCTTAACTCATTCTTTACATGTTCACACAAAAAGAAACTATAGCCCAACCTACCAAAAACATAACAGAAAAAACAGACTAGAAATAAAAGTTAAAATAAGCAAAAAATGGTAAGAGAACACCTGTCTGATCTTGATGAATACAAATCACCAGGACCCGATGAATTACATCCTAAAGTTCTAAAGGAGCTGGCTGATGTCATCTCAGAACCACTGTACCAAATCAATGAATGGTCAATGAATCAAAGAATAGTGAAAGATAAAGAATATATAAAAATGGTAGAAAGAGAATTGAAACTTTTCTACGAAGTAAATAAGAAAGAAGAAACATCATTATAAAATTTATGGGATACTACAAAAGCTTTTACAAGAGGGTTGACAACAGCATATTTGGCAAGGAAAAACAAGGAAAAGAGACAAAAACAAGAANTTTTTTTAACATTTTCTAATGGTGGTGTGCCTCATGATTTTTTTCATGAAAAAAGTGTGCCTTTGCACAAAAAAGGTTGAAAAACACTGCATTAGGGAATGTGATTTATGACTCAGACTGAGGGGAAGGAAGGAACATAAGCTAAGATCCGACTCACAAAACAGGCATTGCCAAAATGTTCCTAATAAATGGCTGGTTTCTCTCTTGAAATTTGACTCAAGGCTCCTGAATCAATTAGCGCATTTAATAGAAACCTAACATTTGTTCAAACAGTTAAATTATGAGATTTTACTGTCTAACATTTTCAAGAGGTTGAAAATGAGATTGGTTATTAATGGATAAGGTTCTCAATGGCTGCTAGTTATAGTTGTCATATTTAAATTCCATTACTGCCTTCCTTAATTTATGATTACACTCTCCAGTGAATTGTAGTGAGAGCTGCTGGAGTCAAATGACATGAGGCACCCTAAGCTAATAAAACGCTTTGTGTGAGTCTGCTGGTGGAATCAACGTATTTGGTACAACTGACATGTTCCACTCTTAACAAGTCCAGGCAACACATGGATGAGCGGAAATATGAAGCTGTGGCATCCTACTTTTAGTAGTCCACCCCTTTTAACACTTTCACCATATTGATTTCTACCAATCTTCCTGGAGTTGATTGCTATGATCCTGCTTGTAACAGACATCTTCATAACCATGTGAAGCTTTGAAATGTGTTGTGTAAAAATAAAGAAATGCATGAATTTGGCTTTCAAAAAATTGAGGTGAACCTTAATTGACAAAGATTGAGGTGATAATGAAATTTAACAGGATACAATGGGACCCAGTTGATAAGTACTAAATAGCTATATAATACTAGGGATTGCATTAAAAAATAATGGATATGTGGATATAGCATATAGGAAAATGGATTTGCCACACAAATGCTAGGTGTTGTGATCTCTTTGTTTTATTATGCAGTTAACATATAGGTAGTCTTCAACTTACAATTGATAGCTTAGCAACCACTCAAAGCTACAAAGGACCTCCGAAAGTTACTTTCTATTAGGTTCAAACTTTCAATAGCTGCCTCACTCCCCCTCCTGTGGTCATGTGACTGCATTTCAAGCGTTCAGCAACTGGCTTGTGTTTACATTTTTTCAGTCCTGTAGTCACATGACTGATTTATGACATTTTCATCCCAAATTGGCTTTTACCTCCAGTTTTTGGCTATAAAACACAGTGGCAAACAATGTGTTTGCTTCATGATCATGGCATTTGTTTAATGATTTGATTTGATTGACTTAACCATAGTGATTCACTTAATGACTTGTGCAAAAATTGTAAAATCAGAAGGGTCACATGATGATCCACTTTATGACCAGTATGATATATGGCTGTAATGAATAGATATGTCAAGACCCACCCATAAAGATGACCCATAAAGATTTACCTGTCTTTTTTTTCTCTACTACTGAACTCCACTGGGGAGATAAGTGAATGTTAGACTCAACATAAAAGTGACTAATGTAATGTAATGACAAAGTGACTTCTCAAAATGAAAATGGAATAGAACTCTTACAGTTGCCAAACTTTGAGTTGCCTTCTTCCTTTATTTCCCTTCTCCCCTCATTCTCTCTTTTTACAGAGTCCAGGCACAACATCTTTGGGAATGTCTGTCTTCAACCTTAGTAATGCTATCATGGGCAGTGGGATATTGGGTCTTGCCTTTGCTTTGGCCAACACAGGAATTGTACTCTTTGCGTAAGTAATTCATATGCCAAATTTCTTTAGCAGTTTGACACATTCAAAGGTTGGATGAAAAATAATACCACTTTCATAGATTTAGTTTAAATAGGGATCTTTTAATAGATGAAGTAAAAAAATTATCCTTAAAAGAATTATTTTATTGTTAGTATTGGTGTCTCCAAGCAATCAACTCCATTTGCCACATATATCTACCAATGCTGGACAAGTTTTAAAGCTATCATTAAAGAACTCCAGATTTTCTTTTTCAACAAAGTCCTAACAATCCTCACTTACTTCAAGGTCGCCATGAACAACCTGAATTTGATATTGAATTTCAAGGGTCTCTTGGCAATCAAAATGTAATCATGTCACATCACTTAAAGTGCAGTTACTGCAGGCTTTCTCTTAGCAAACAAGAGCAATAGAACCTTTTTTCATAGCAGCTTCCTGCCAATTGAAGTCAAAGAACAGAGGCTAAGAAATACATAAGAGCTTCTAGCATATCAGTACTTCTACCTGTCAGTGACTTACAACTTTGGAAGCAATATTTTTCATTCAATCCTTGTAAATATTCAGCTGAAGGAAAGACCCCCAAAAATCTGTTTTTATACTTTAATGCCTGATCTAACTAGTACATAAACAAAATACACAAGTGTATTCGCATGTAGTTTCTTAGTTTTGCAGTGTAATTCATAAATAAAAACATGTATGCAGAATTATTAAGTAAAAATAAGGAAGTCCCTGCAGATTTTACTCTGCTAGTTATTACCGACTATAGGAGGCAGTGCTCATCTCTGTATCAAGGCCATTGAATAAGCACTGTCATGTAGCCAGCATAACCTCATGGAACACTGTTACCTGCTAATTGTTTATCTAGTTGCATTTGCATGCTTTCAAGTTGTTAGGTTGGCAGGAGCTGGAGTGAGGACAGGAGCTCACCCCATTATGGTGCTCAGGCCTCAAACCTGGGTTTCAGCTGACGAACTGCTGAGCCACCACACCACTCCTTAAGTAAAGATACTAGACATAAATATGCACACATAAAAAAAAATAACAAACAACACATTTTACATTTGAAAAAAGTGTTTTACAAAATTGCATTAATAAATCACATAGTGAGTGGTATGAATTTTCATGTATTTTTTTTTAAACCAACCTGAAATGAAGTGGAAAAAATGATTTTAAGGTGGGTAAGCTGAAAAAGTGGATGAAACTAGAATGGACAGATAAATTCATTCTTAATTTGAAATATATGTTTAAACTCCATTCTGTTTAAAACAGAATGAATATTCATTTAACATGAACTTCACACAATATAAGAACTTTTTAATAGTCATATGGTCAAACATTACTGCTTAGCTTCTTATTGAACTTCTAAAGAAATTTTAAGTTTGATTCTTAAGACATAATCTCATGCAAAATATTCTAAACAATGAAGAATATGCTTTTTTGGACTTTTTCTAATCAAATAACTATTGTTAACAGTTTTCTTCTTTTAAATGTTGAATAAGCTTTCTCAGCTGGGTGCCATGGATGCATTAGGACATATTGCTTCCTGAAGTCTTTTCCATAGAAAGTTTTTATTTTCCATTTTCATAACATATAATCACATGTATACTATTACATAGTCAATATCATGTTGTATTATTAAGTATTTACATCAATTCATCTTACCATCAGCTACCAAAGAAAAAAAAAGAAAAACCCAGTTATTGGCTCTTCTGCTCTCCATACACCAT